ATGGATGGATGGATGGATGGATGGATGGATGGATGGAAGGATGGTTGGTCGGAAAGAAAGAAATGGATAGTATTTTATCCTCACTGCATACTCATTACCGAGTCACGGGAATTTAGATATGGAAGGTGACCGCGACTGCTGGCAATGAGCATGCAAAAAGCTGGGATGCGTCGTCAACCGCCACCAGGGGAGGTGGGTGGAGTGAATCTTCTACTCTCTCCTTAGGCAGCTTCCGACGGAATGATTCAAGGATCTGGGTGTGGCGCTTATATATGCATGGGTCGCAAAGCATTACACCCGCACTGCGCAAACTCCAATGTCCATATATGGGGGGTTGCTAAATTCCTACGTGACACGCCAATTATGTATGCAATGAGAATAGTAGATAAAAAAGGCCTAGTTTGTAGGGGATGGTGAGTAAGTGAATGGTAAATGAAAGATAAGGACTGAATTGATATGAGAAATCAAATGTACTCACACGTAAATTTAAAAATAGATGCAATCTAGCTAGCGATTTTTCATTTCTCAAAGAAGAGGCTCAATCGTGAGAAAATAAGCACTAGCAGTGGTAGTTCAAATTTGAATCTCATGATTTCTAAGAGAAGCCTGAAACCGGCAAATCGGATGAAAAGCCCATTTTGTACCCAGACCCTACTCACGCTACGATTTGGTTAATGAGTAGGGTCTGGGTACGAGAATAAAGAAACATATATTCAAGGATGACAGACAGCTGTCATTCAATGCTCTGCATCAGTGAACCTTTGTAATAACAGATCATACAGCATTACTAACTACGAACATGGTTTCCATAGATCGAAGCAGGAAATTCTGAAATTTAAGAAATATTTTATAAGTATATTAACAAAAAAATATCCATTTTTTCATTTCATTTTGTTTTAAAAATGATTGAGTGAGAAATTGTGTACTACGCAATACAGGGATAACAAAAACGAGCGCTTTTAACCCCCACCCCAAAAAATAATTTGTAACTTACAATTGAGGACAATTTATGACTTCAGGGCGCATCGCATAGGAGTAGTTTTTATTAGATCTATCCCTTGATCATGATTTGAGGGTTTGTCTCCGGGTTCTAAATCTCTGACCATCTCCGGTTTTCCTCCTTCTGCAAAACCTAAAACGCTACTAGATTGCAAATCGATCTCTAATTTCACCGTGCCCTGGCTTTCATACTCCCGGAAGCTGTTTCAGGGTATCAACTAAATTTGAAGGATTTGAAATTTGGATTTTAATTATTTTTGTTGTTGAAATATCTGGCTCCTCATTTCCTCACCTCCCCCACAAAAAGACCTTGAGTTGGCGCTTTTAAAAGCCCATATATTTAATGACAACTCGAATAACTTCTTATGCCTTTGGCTTTCATTACCACTAGAACTAACTAAAATCCCCCTCGACAAAAGAACAAAAGATAATTTTAATCTCCAACAAATGCATTCAGCTGTCGATATTTGGACAAGGGTAATACCTCTTGGCTATTATCACTCCATTGTTCTCGTGAAAAAGCTATGATTTGTTTGCGCGTGTGACGAAGTTGTTTATTTTAGAAAAAAAGATTGTGTTCAGTAACAATAAAAAAAAATAGATGCTTTGGGCAGTGGTGAGTAGTTTGAAGTTCAACTGTGCAAAGTTCATTCGAAAAGCCAAAAAGAAAGATACAAGGTAAGATCTTTCTCGTCCAAGTTCCAATGATAAAAGAGTTATTTTAATCCTTTACAAATGATTTAAACGAAATTCGTTTTTAGTGATGCACGTTACGAAACGGAGGGTATTTATTTCGACATAAAATACGTTTTAGCTCAGTGTTCAAATTAAAAGTAAGTAAGTGAAAAAGGGAAGACTGAGTAAAAGGAAAGAACGAAGAAAGGAAGAAGTAAATGATGAAGGATGGAAGGAAAAATAAAACGAAGAAAGAAAGATTAAGTAGAGGAAAGGTGGAAGGAAAAAAGGAAGGAAGGAACAAAGGAACAAAAGACGGATTGAAGGAGAGAAGGAAGGGGAAGAAGGAAGGAAGGAAAGTAAGGATAGAAGGAAAAAAAGGAACAAAGATAGAAAGAACTAAATAGAGGAAAGAAGAGGAACGAAGAAGGCCAATGGGCTTACCGTAAAGATCGCTTCAAATATATATATCTTTCCTTTCCTTTCATTTTTTGTCTATTTTTCTTTCAAATAGAAATGAAGGTTTCCTTCCTTCTTATCTGCGTCACTCTGACGTACTTTCTTTCCGCTGTGGATTCCCGCGAACTAGTCGACGCATCTGACGCAGCTGATCCCAATGATCCAGTGTCTCAACTCAAAGCAGCTATTGATAACCTAACAGCAAACCTCGCTAAAGGTGCAGAATCTACAAAGAAAATCGTCGGCGCCTTGGCCCGTCAGACGATGCTACAACAACTATTTGTAGAGGAAAGAATAAGATCTGAGGGATACTCTGGTGTCAAGCAAATCAGGCTCTCTCGAGAAGGAACTCGTAACTACTATGGCCAATCTCATACCAGTTCAGGCAGCGTCCTTGCCATCCATGACCATTCTAACAATGACCGCACTGTTGGGATGGGAGAGTTCGTTGGAGTTCTCAACGGAGTGGAGTTCCGTACAAGACACAATGACTATCGCTTGTACATGCCTCACAGAACCAGCAAGAAATTACATGCAACTGAGAACATTCCCTTCCCAGACGTTCCACCAGAGGTTACAAGCAAGAGCAATGTCAATGAACAGATTGAAGAAATGCGAGAATGGTTCAAGGCATGGAAAAATCAAAACCACACCGTAAGAGACTATCGCAAGTACTTCAAGCCTGTGTTGTGTTATCTCGAAGGAGCTTGGACCAAAGCAGAAAGTAAGATCAATGAACCATTCGAAAGTGACAGGCATTTTATAGACGCATCCAGCTGGTTTGACCTGCAAGAGAAAGTTCGATTCACGTCTTATACCGGAAGAAAAGATAGTTTGGAGAACTTCTCGTTCCTTCCCACAACAATTATGAATGTGACCGAAGATGGTGTTCCTCAATTTGCCCAGTGGAACTATCGCATCCTTTGCCATCCAATCAGCAGAGATCTACCCCTGAACCGATTACGAGTGGTCGATGAAGTTGGATCTCGATTGTCTGCAAAAAGAACCTATGRTGAGCACTCAAAGTCAAGGAGCGCACGTTTTCAGGTCAATCCCTTTGATGAGGACACTTGGAGCGAAAGAGAAAATAGAAAGCATTTCGGTTTGCTCGATGAACTGATGGGTGAGGTACATACCTATGACATTTAGTTTAGTTCCTTATAAAGTAGCTGGGTAAATCCCTTGTTGTCCCTTGGATTCCAGAGTTCAGTATCCAAGTCAGCTGATAATGTTTTCTATTTTATTCAAAGATTCCAGGAAAAGACAACTACCAAGGGAATCTCACCGACGAAGCTTTTGATCTGGCAGCATTATYTCTTGCACCTGGAAAACAAGGCGTCAAGTTGAGAGCTGATCGATATCATCGCTGGTTCAAAGCTGCAAAAAGAGACGCTATGGGAGCATCCACAAGACATCGAGGTTACTCCGACGAAAACCTCTTTATGGCCATGACTACACAGCCAAGAATCCCTGGGATGGACCTCACCAGATGCAGGTGGAGAAAATGCACAACGCTGCACCAAAAATGGTCCTACGCTATTCCACTTGAAATCATCTATCTAACACCCCTGAGCAAGTGGAATCCCTATGATATCGAGTACAAAGGAGACGCAAGATCAGAAAAAGGAAAAACTGTTGTAGCTGGAGGTAGAAATGGTGCTAAGACGCTGAAAGGAGCATATAATGGAACGAACAGCAGAACATTCTACCAGACACCGGTCGCGTTCTTCTCGGGTAACGAGGTTGGTTCAGGCGCAGCTGATACCACGAGAAATTCTGCTGGAGTCTTGGACAAGAAAGGTAACATATTTAGTAACTGCGCCTTACAAACTTAGTGAGGCTTTTGTCTCCATCATAATTCACTGTTTCATATTTGGTGTAGGTAATTTACGTTTCTGCAAAGCAAGTGGAACAAGGATTCTTTTTCCCTTGATAAATGGAATCGGCAGCATACGTCAACGCTACCCAATCATGCCCGTGCACGGACAAGGAAGTGCTGTGTGGAAGGAACTGGAAGCCATGAAGGACGTTGTCCTTAAATCCCAATCAAACGGGTACATCTTAAGACAACCATTGACTGCAGGCGGCCCAATACCTACTGAGCCACCGAGAAAAGACATCAAATTACAGGTGCAGACTGCCCGTAAGAAAACCATTGGCCCTCATGAACATGAGATTGCTCTTACTGCTGATCAGGTAAACTAGAGGATAGATAGAGAGGTTCCTTGTAAGACTGTATTACTGTGGTACTGTATTGTCACGCTCACGGCACAACACTTCCTTGCCGTGAGTTTTTTGCAGTTGCTATATCGATTTCTCGCTTCTGGCAGAGCAATGTAACACATGATTGAAAACAAAGTTTAAAAAATCTTTTTTTTCTGTGTCTAGGTTGACTTCATAAAAGACGGTGGAACCCAGAAGATCACATCATCGACAGCAGCAGGTCACGATCACACGTTGTTTGTGAAGGCGTATAAAGACAGGAATACTAAGAAATGGGTATTCTATATCCTTCGGTGTGATGATGGGAGCCTTGATAAAGGATGGTTGAAATGCTGGGATCAGCACCCAAACCGTCTTTCTCAAATACCAGATCAGTAAAATGATTAGCGGGATACCCAAGTGCCAATTAAGGCGAAGTCTCTAATTCCTTTTTCAGGGTACACCCTAGAGTTAGCCCTAGGGGTACAGCCACTCTACCTTCATGTAAATGGCCGATGTCAGGTGGGGTGACCGTTAGTGCTAGGGACAAGACTTGATTGCCACAATTAATTGTCTCTTTATATAAAAAGTCTCTTTATATACTGGATAATGTAATATCAGAATTTAAAATGTTTTAAAGCCAATAACGACGTATTGTACTGCAACTTAAAATATTCTGCCTTTCGTGTCCTTTTTCGTGTTCTTTTTTCTGTGTTTTCCCTTTTTCTTGTCATTTTTATTTTTCTTATTTTTACTTTCTCTTCATTTAGCATTAGAATTATTTGGAAAAGGATATCTTAAATACGTCTAATGTCCTGAAAATCCTCTGCTTAATAATGATGATATTATGATGCATATGATGATGATGACGACTGATGATTATGATGGTGGTGGTGGTGATGATGATGACGACTGATAATGATGATGATGATGATGATGCCGGTGATAATGATGATAACGATGATGATGATGATTAGGAGGATGATTATAATAATTTCAACTGAGATAAACGATAAAACCGTCGTCGTCGTCGTCGTCGTCGCAATGGGGCCACACCCTCTTAGTTAGACAGTTATTTATTTCTTTAGTACTTTTTACGTCCAAAATTTTCTCAGAACGCAGGGGAAAAACACTTCCTGGAAACCATATTTTAAGTATTTCACTGGGAGCATACCCCTGAATCTCGATCTCTAGTTTCATTTGCATAGTCAGCGGTGAGATTCGTCTAAAGCTGAATTGTTATGCCCCCCCCYCCCCCCCCCTTCCCCTAAGATTCCTGGATCCGCACCTGTTATAATTACCTCTTTTTAACTTTGTAGTCGAATAGATCCATTGATAGTCAACAAGAAACAGGGCGAAAATTATTGAATAATTAAAAAGTGCGGAATATGATTTTTGAATCAAAAATCACACTCTATAGGCAAACACTGTTTTGGGCTTCGTTTGCTCTTAAGTTTTTCTAAGAGGAGTAAAATAACTTTATAGCTAGAACCTCAACGACGAATGCAATGATTCATTCCAAGTTTATAGGCTATAATGGACAATGGATGCAATATTCATGGATGCAAGTCAGTTTTTCTTTGAATTGTTAAAAAAGTATACTTGGAAGTACAGTGAATAAGAAACTATCACTCAGAAAGTTAAATCTACTTATTTAATTGAATTCATAGTAGTCACTTCGCAGCTTGACCAAGCCAGGAAACCTAAAAAGTCATTTTGACGAAGAAGATATATCCCTCGATTTTTATTCCACTAACATCTCGAAGACACCAAGCCTGTTTAATCAGGCACGTACAGATTGATACAAATTTGGAACAACTTAACAAAAGACTCCTGGTCAATGACTAGAGTTTGTTTATCTAGTAATAGTAAAAGAGCCCTTTTCTGACTTGCTTTGTTTTTTAAAGAAAGAACAAAGTAATGGTAAACTAGAACTGTTTGCTTAAGAAAAAAGGTACAGGTTTAGGAGAAAAACTTTTAATCTCCAAAAGATGTACTCAGCTGTTGAACTTTGGACAGATAAAATGCATAACACTAAAGGGTAACTCAACATGCTATTGTTTCAAAGCTATTTTCTACTTTTTAAATAAAGAATATAGTGCTTAAAAGCACCATACACGTACTAAAAGCTTAATTCTTGGAAAAGCCTCGTGTTTGTATAAAAGTTTAAAAGGTTTCAAAGATAAAAAGCTGAGGTTGTTAGAAAAATTCATTTCAAGTTTCACCCTGAATCAGTTTGAACTGTGAAACCACGGGAAAAAGGAGGTAATTATTTCATTTTYTTTGAGAATCTTCGTGGCTTTGTCCTTTTCAACTTAGACAAGAGCGAGGTATATCATTTTTATATAACATTTACAAGGTTTTGTACTACGTATATTCATAGTAGAGTAGCAAAGATTTATATTAGTCTGTGAGTAGATAGATAGCTTATTAAGAAAGTAAAGCTGTAAAGTAGAGTAAAGTTTGTTGGTTCTTCCCGTTTGCTTCGAGGGTTTTACTCCTTTCGAATAACGTCAACTTCTAATTCCAATGGACCGTCTCAAAAGTGTCGTGGATGCGATGCTAACACAAACGAAATCACACTTTTTCTCGATGGAATTTATGGCATTTATTTAATTGCATTTTCACGGTTAGCCTTAGCATTCGAGACAATTTTAAGAAGGGTGGCGTGAAAAGTTTAAAGAAAGTCTCTTTACCAATGGCGGTTACATTTGAAAAAAGTACTGATTTGTTTGCCTTTTTCAGTTGCCTTTATAGCAATGAAGGTCTTAGCTTTTCTTCCACTAGTCGTCTTGTTGGTCCTTCCTCTTAGTGATGGGGAATCTCGTTCGTTTGACGCTTCTGATCCTCCTACAGACCCTATAGCAAGGCTCACAGAGTCCGTTGCAAGCCTAAAGAAATCAGTCAAAAATACCATTGGGACGTTGGCTCGACAGATGATGTTACAGCAGTTGTTTGTTGAAGAAAGAATCAGGTCTGACGGTGCTTCAGGAGTCAAGCAGATTAGACAATCCCATACAGGCACACGTAACTACTACTCTCAGACACACACCAGTAAAGTTAGTGTCCTTGCCATCCATGACCATTCGAATAACGATCGTACTGTTGGGATGGGAGAGTTTATTGGAGTCCTCAACGGGGTGGAGTTCCGCACAAGACACAATGACTATCGCTTGTACATGCCTCACAGGACCAGCAAACAGCTACATGCAACGGAGAACGTTCCGTTCCCAGACGTTCCACCAGAGGTTACAAGCAAGAGCAATGTCAGCGAACAAGTTAAAGAAATGCGAGAATGGTTCAAGGCATGGAAGAACCAAGATTACAGCGTTAGAGACTATCGTAAGTATTTCCGCCCAGTGATCTGCTATCTCGAGGGAGCTTGGACAGCAGCAGGAGATAAAATCGATGAACCGTTTGAAAGTGACAGGCATTTTATAGACGCATCCAGCTGGTTTGACCTGCAAGAAAAAATTCGATTCACCTCATACACCGGCAGAAAAGATGACTTGGAGAACTTCTCGTTTCTCCCCACCACAATCATGAATGTGACCGAAGATGGTATTCCTCAATTTGCCCAATGGAACTATCGCATCCTTTGCCATCCAGTCAGCAGAGATCTTCCCCTGAACCGCCTACGAGTAGTTGATGAGCTCGGATCCCAGCTGGCGGCCAAACGAACATATAGGGAGCATTCAAACACACGTTCTGCGCGCTTTCAGCTAAACCCATTCGATACAGACAAATGGACCGAACGGGAAGATAGACGAAGGTTTGGTCTTCTTGACGAGATCATGGGCGAGGTAAAGTTTTTAGAAAACTTTGATTTTGATTCTTAACACTAAATGCGTGCTAAAGAACGTTATACTAACTGGAGGTTTTTCTTTGGTTCGTGATTTTTAATTTTGAAATTCACTACCAATTGATAGTATGGACCGGGTTACAGCAAGTTAAATGCTTCAACGTGGCCATTTTAATGTAAGAAGATATAGTTCCGCTATAGTTCATGTTACGTCATGGCCGCCATCTTGGTTGACGATAACAAAGCATTCCACATTAGCTTTTCTTGTTATATCGACCAAAATAGCGGCTATTTCATTGCTTTTCATATCTGAAGGGATCATTGAGTCACATGGTTGCACATACTCTATTCACAGGTGCCAGGAAAGGACAATTATCAGGGCAATCTCACCGACACTGCGTTTGGACTATCAGCCTTTTCCCTGGCTCCTGGACAACGCGAGTCTAGGCTCAGGGCTGACAGATACCATCGCTGGTTCAGAGTTGCCAGAAACGACGCCATGGGCGTTTCTACCCGACATCGAGGATATTCAGATGAGAACCTCTTTATGGCTATGACCACACAGCCGAAGGTCCAAGGACTGAATCTTCAAAGATGTCAGAAAATGAAAGGTGGGAAAAAGTGTTCAGGACTACACCAAAAATGGTCGTATGCCATTCCCCTCGAAATCATCTTCTTGACGCCTCTCAGCAAATGGAATCCATATGATATTGAGTTCAAGGGGAGCTACAGGTCGAAGCTCGGAAAAACAGTAGAGGCTGGAGGACGGAACGGAGGCCATACCTTAAAAAAAGCCTACAATGGAACCAACAGCAAGCGGTATTACCAGACACCGGTGGAATTTTTCTCGGGTAACGAGGTGGGTTCAGGTGCAGCTGATACCACGAGAAATTCTGTTGGAGTCTTGGACAAGAAAGGTACACTCCTAATGTTAGTTATCGAAAAGCATGGATAATAATTGCGTAAAGTTTTGGATTTGAGTTTTTTAAGATGTTAATTTTCTGATGCTTAATGTTAAATAGGTAATGTGAGAGTCTGCAAAGCAAGTGGAACAAGAATCTTCTTCCCTCCAATAGCAGGGGTGGGATTTCTGCGTCAACGTTACCCCATTATGCCTGTCCACGGGGAAGGAAGTGCTTCATGGAAGGAGCTAGACGCACTGAAAGACCTGGTGCTTAGTTCCAAGACAAACGGTTATGTATTTAAGGAGCCTTTGCAAAGTGGACCAATACCAACTGAGCCTCCTAGGAAAGATACCAAGCTACAAGTACAATTGGCTACGGCTGCTAATCCTGGTCCTCACACGCACAACCTTTTTGTCACCGCTGATCAAGTAAGTAACCATTATAATATAGCTAAGTTAAACCGCGTGTTCTGATTGGCTAATTTATCATGAGCTATTTGTCCATGCCTACCACGCTGACGTCAATGCATCCCTAACTCAATACTGAGATACGTACGCTGCTTTTGAACCATTTCTTCAATCTCGTACCCATAGCCCACAATCCTCTTGGTCAGTCAGCACCAGTTGTTTCTCGGTGCTGACCAAAAGGAACGTGGGCTCTGGGTACGAGATTGAGATTTATATTAACTAAAAGCTATTGGAAAAGATTGGTTCTCGATCGTAGTGCTAAAACAGTTTCCTTTTGACCCTTTTTTAGTTCGAATGTATAATCCATTCATGCAACAATCCGACCATCAATTGTCCGCCACCCATTTATTCATCCATCCATCCATAAATCCCATTCTTTTCCATCAATACATCCCACTATGCAGTTCCCATTGCAACTACCAATCCAACCATCCATTTATCTTTCCAAATCATCCCACCCTATTCGTGATCTCTTTTTGACAGCCCATCAAAAACCAGCCAATCAGCGCGCAGTAAGAAATCTGATCAGGCGGTCCAACAAAGCTGCTGAGGGGAAAACAGTCAGAGAAAAAAATTCTGAATCTTTGCTTTCCTAGCTACTTCATGGACTAGCAATGCATTTAAGATTCTACCTATTCTTATAAAGAAAATACCTATGAGTCAAATAGTGCGTTTCAGTTTTTTTATGAAAATATCGTGAAATGATAGCTCTTTGTTCGCCGATAAACAACTGAATCTAAAACCCCCTGATCAACTACGACAATCCTTTGCACGCGTTCCCCGGTATCACCTGGTACCATGATGCCATCTATCTCTCCCATCATCCTATTCCAGCCAATTAATCTATGGTTTCATCATTATTAGGTTGATTTTATAAAGGCTGGCGGTATTCTCCACGGAGTGAAGACGAGTACAGCAGCAGGCCACGACCACACCATGTCACTCAGGTGGAGCCCAAGTGGTAAATATTTCTACATCTACAAATGTGACAGTAAAGATACGCGGTATAGGAGGTGTTGGGATCGACATTTCGTTTCTCTTATTGTGATGCCCGACCAGTGAATATAACACTACTATATTCCATAAAAAAGGCTTAAATAATGAAGTAGTAATGAATGATGTTGCCAATAAATATTATCAGCATTTCAGTTGTAGTTGTTTCTTTTTTCTTCACTTAATAGAGAGTTTTAGATTTACGTTCACGGCAAACGTGAAACGTCAGTTGACCAGTAAAAAATTCTGTGAGTTTTAGCTCTGTGATTTGATAGCCGTATCCAAAATAATAAGTTTTGTATCGCGATTCTTCTATTTTTCAATGCACAATAAAAACGATTTCAGAGCACAAATTCAGATGGATTGATTTGGAGGTATTTCGAAATGAAGATTTCCAGAGCCATTTTGTCCATCTATGGAGTGCCTTTTCTCGAATATTTGACTTATGGAGAATGCTGTGAGGCTGATATTTCGTTGTTTGGACATAGTGCCTCGCGACACTTATGAAAATAAATAAAAAGATGAGGAAGGGATGACTCCATGCCGAAATTTTAAAGGATTTCCCGTGATGCATCGCGACGCTGACAAGTGAAGAATGGAGTAGCGACGAAATACCTCCAGAAAAACGGCCATTGCTCGCCTTATAGAAAGAATTGACGGCAAATTAAGGTCTAAAAACCAAGAGTGAGATCCGAAATTAGCTTTGCATTATTTTTGAATTTAAATAAAAAATTGAAGTAAAAATAATTCGATGATAAAGAATGATTCTTGGCTTTGAAAATGACGTCAAAAATAGTGATTATATTTTCGTTATTCCGAAAACATTTAAAGGATTTTTTGTTAGAATTTTTGATATTTCTCCAGATTTTTTGGTTCGAGAAGTTTTTCCGTTTAGCAGTAAAGAATCTAGCAAGGCATTCAGGCTACCTTGCTCAAAACTGTTGAAGGTGGAATTTATTCAAGTAACGTGGGCTTTTTCCGTAGGTTTCGTAGTCAAAGGGCTTTAATGTATATTTCAAAAATCCAGATTGATTACGAGAACGAAATTAACTGGGATATAAAAATGGTCAAAGAAAATATTTATACTCGATGCATTGATCATAAAGTTTAATTTCCTTCCTTAAACATCTTTGGAAGGATCAGAGACAGTGGTATTGCAGGAGATGATTATCCAAGTACGATAATTAACGGGGACAAGAGAATCTCTTGACGGGGACCATTTGACAGCAGTGAGTTTCTAACAAGGGCGAATCTAAGATGTTGAACAGTAGTATGAGGAGTATCACAAAATCGAGAAGATAGTTATTAAGAATATTAAATTATTATTAGTTAATTAATATTTAATTTAGTCATTAAGAATATTAATGTTTATACTAAACAACTATTTCCAAGTTAGAAAGGTTGGGGGGGGGGGGGGGGGGGGATCAAGAGCAGCCTGTGACTAGCGTCCGTCCATTCCGTCCATCCATCCGTTCAGCCATTCATCCATCTACCCATCCATAAATCAACCCTCCATTGTATTGAATAGTCTTTTTATTAGGCTGATACCTAACAAGTTCACTAACTTTCCCATCGTAATGATCAGGCAATCAATCCTTTTAAAACATTTATAGGCAATTAGAAATATAGACAGAAAAACAATTAACAAAACATCTCAGTCAATCAATTATTTTATTGGTGTTTACGCTTTTTTTATGTGTTTACACTAGCGAATTATAAATATACCCGACAGAAAAACAATTTAGCAAAAATCCCTCAGTGCTGTGAGTTAGTTTCTAATGAGCATTCCCTTTACTGGTCTGGCATCTGAACCAACCTATTAGGATGCTCATCCCAGCACATTTTCCAACGAAAGTCTTTAGCATCACACTTCTTGATATAGAACACCCATTTCTGTTTTTTGCTGTCTTTGTACGCCTTCACCGACACCGTGTGCTCATGACTAGCTGCTGTTGTTGTGGTGACTGTCTGAGTTCCACCGTCCTTTATGAAATCGATCTAGAAAACAGATAAGAACAGGTTTATAGATAGTGTACTATGGAATAATATTATTAACAATCCGGGGCATCCTCTTGCACATCTACTTCCACCTAAAAGAACTAGAATTTTACGGTCAAGAAGCCACAATTATATATTACCTAAGGTTAAGATTGAGCGTTTCAAAAACGTATTTTTGAATAGATGTCTTTTTAATTAATTAGTATTTATATTTCTCAATTTATATTTATATTGATA